GGGTTTGGTGTTGTCCCTCGGAAAGCAGCGGGCGCGGAGCTCTCCCTCCGCCCCTGCCCTTCCCGCCGGGATGGAGCTGGTGTAGGTGGATCTCTGTTGCAACCTGAACCTGTTCTTTAGAAAAGAAGGTTTTGCAAGGTCTCCTGGAGGCAGGAGAGATGGTGGATTCCATTTCCAAGCTCACTGGAAGCTTCATCACCTGAGCGGAGCAAGATTCAAGTGAGGAGGAGTCAGTTAAAACACAAATCCGGTGTTTCCTGGCCCAGGACAGCACCTCTGCCACCTCCTGCCTCTCCTCTCCTGGCTCGGAGTGCAGCTCCCGTGCTGGGACACTCTGCAGTGACATTGCATTTGGCCTCTCTCCTCTTCATGTCCCACTGGAAGTTGTTTCATTTACTTTCTTCCAAATGCCAATCAGATCTACAACAAGCAAATCTTATTAAAGGCATTATCAGATCCCCCAGACCCACCAAGTACCATCTTTATCAGCTGCTGCAGAGTTCAGCCTTCCCTCCACACACCACTGAGTCATTTTCCAAGGCCATAATTGTATAAAATTTCCATTCTGCCTCTCCTCATCGCCCAGGAGAAGGACAAGGGGAAGCAACCTTAGGTGACTTGTAGATTGCTCAGACCTGAAATGATCAAGTTTTGTGTTTGTTGTTCTTTTTCTTGTTTTAGGTGATTCCAAAGCACAAGTTTGTCCTTGTGAAATTTGACACCCAATATCCTTACGGAGAGAAACAGGATGAGTTTAAAAAGCTGGCAGAGAGCTCTGGCTCCAGTGAGGATCTTCTGGTGGCCGAAGTGGGAATATCAGGTGAGGAGCTCTGGCCAGGTGGGTGCAGGAGGGGATAAATCCCAACAGGCTGAGGCAGTTGTGAGGGTGAGAGAGGAGGTGTCAGACTGCTGACACCACGCTGAGCCAGCGTGGGAGTTCTGCTTATCTGCTCTCAGCTGGTTAATGAAGCGACTCAGCCCACACTGCTGAACTGCTGCCTCCCTCCTCAGCCCCAGCACTTGGCTTTTCTCCTCCCTCTTCGCCAGGAGAAACCTTTTGGTCCCACTTCCAGGGAAGAGACCTTCCCAGCATCACCCTTTAGCCACAGTCCTGGTCAAACAAAATGTGGTCAGTTCCTTGTGCAGACCCTGGGGCAGCACAGAAAGGGTTTGCACTGGTGTAACTCAGTGCTCAGAACTGGGCTGAAGAGCAGAGCAGTGAGGAGGGATCACTGTCACCTTATGTGCTCTGGCTCTGTAGGTAGAGTTAAGAATTTAGGCTTAACTGTCAAACTGGGAAGTTTCACCCACGCTGATATTTCTGAGCACATGTGGAATTCTCCAAGCAGCATAATTGAAATGTCTTTGTGTTTTCTGTCCTCGAGAATAAATGTGATGGATGTAAGATGAGTAAATGCCTTGTAGCTTGGCAGGGTGTCAGGACTGAAGCATCCTCTGCACAGACAGGAAAAAATATTTGTAAAATCAGATAAAATCAATGGAGAGAGGGAAGCAAGGGAAGAGAGGCTGTTAGTTTCCTGTGAGGAGGATGGGGGTTGTATGTCAAGGTGCTGTTGGTGACTTGCACTCTCACAGTCACAGCAAAGCTCCACTAGAACCTTTGTCTCTCTCTTTGGAAAACCCAGTGAGTGTTTGCCTTGCACAAATGGTTTCCTGAGGTGGTTTTATGTGGCATTTTCCTGGAACAGCTCCCCAGGGCAGTGGTCACAGCCCCAAGGCTGACAGAGCTCCAGGAGTGTTTGGTCAACACTCTCAGGCACAGGGAGGATTGTTGGGGTGTCCTGGGCAGGGTCAGGAGTTGGACTGGATAATCCTTGTGCATCCCTCCCACTCAGGATATTCTGTGATTTCCTGGCAAACAGGTTATTAGGATGTGTTGAAACTCTGGAGGCAAATACACTTTGTGTAGGAGGGAATCAATTTTTAATTAACTGTGCTTTTCTCTTTCATTTTCTCTTGGCAGATTATGGTGACAAACTGAACACTGAGCTGGGAGAGAAGTACAAGCTGGACAAGGAAAAATTCCCTGTTTTTCACTTGTTCCAGGATGGTGACTTTGACAATCCCTTGCCTTATGAAGGGCAGGTCAAGGCTGGGGCTATCCAGCGCTGGCTGAAGAGCAATGGCATCTACCTGGGCATGCCAGGCTGCCTCAAGGAGTATGACCTGCTGGCCAGCAAGTTTGTGAGCACCCCTGAGAAGTCTGAGCGCCAGGCCCTCCTGAGGAAGGGGCAGGAAAGCTTGGGAAGAGCAAAGGAAACCGAGAAGAAATCGGCTGAGCAATACTTGAAGATTATGAGCAAGATCCTGGAGCAGGGAGAGGAGTTTGCTGCTAACGAGGTCGTGCGAATCACGAAGCTGATCGAGAAGAACAAAATGAGTGATGGGAAGAAGGAGGAGCTCCAGAAGAGCCTCAATATCCTGGCTTCTTTCCTGAAGAAGAGTAGTGAGAAAGATGAGCTCTGAGATGTTGGAGAACTTTGTACAAGCTGTGAAACACTGTCAAGAGTCCTAACCAGTTCTCCTTACGCAAGCAAACTTCCCGCTGACTTCAAGAGAGCAGCAGATTTCCTTCTGGTATTCTCAGTTTAGAAGATCAAGAGGAAGACATTCCTTAAAAACACAGTATTCTACATGTTGGTAAAACCACCTACAGGCAAGGCACGAGTGTTGTGTGATACTGCTCAGTAACAGTGCTACAGCAGACAACAACAGCAAAGCACTAGGCTGGCCAGGAGCACATTCCTGGTGGTTTTTACAGCTGTTTCCTGGCAAACAAACAGCAGAATTCTGTCTTGCATTCCATGTTACATGTTAAAGGTACAGATTGGGTGTCCCTCACATCCACTCCTTCCCTTGTTCTTAGTGTCCTTGGGTTTTATGCTTGTTAACCTACCCCACACACCTGTTGTTCCCCAGCTCCTTCTCCAAGTCTGGTTCTTCCCTGTTGTTGACACAGAGACCTGGAGTTTCCTTTCTCTGCCTTCTCCCTCTGTGGCTCCTGTCTCTGTTAGGTTTGGGTATCAGCTAAGGGCTGGCAATGAAGACAGTTCCTCCACATATCACAACCTGCTCCTCATCTTCTGGCCAGAGCAGCCACTTCATCCACCACTGTCCTGAAATCCTCTGTGGATCCTTTGTGGTGCCCTGAGTGAGTGATGTGAGCTCTGAGCAAGGGCAGAGTCTCCTTGAGGTGCTATTATCACTCAGTCTTGCCACTTTGTGCAAAAATTTATTCTTTCAGAGGTAAATTGGGGTGAGTTTTCTCGTGGCTGAAGATCCCCACGTGCTGCCTGAGTGTTCTACCTGTCCAAGCTTCATTTCCCAGGTTCAGCATGAGGGAGGTGAGACCAATATCGACATCTGAATGTCTCGAGCTCTAGTTAGCACGACAAAGTATCTTCTCCAGCCTCCAGAAGTGATTGACACAGTCAAACTAAAGCCTCGGCAGTGTTCAGTAGTTTTCAGTAGTTTTCAGTATTTGAAAATGAGGTCTTGTAACAGGAAGCTAAAGTATTTGTGCCCTTAGAAGCCTCATCTGTGTTATTTTCAGGGAGTTGCCTGGCCCAGGGATCAGGTCAGTCCTCCAAACTGTGCTGTTCACACTGTGTGGAGTTCAGATGCCACTGGAAGATGCTGAACCCCCAGTCAGGGTTACAGAGAGTTGGAAAGAGAAACACCTGTGTGTTTTATCTTCAGAAGATGCTTTGAGCAAAACTGATTCCTGTGGGAGCTTTGCTGCCTTTTGAGTCCTGGGGTGGGTACAAGGAGCAGATGTTGCTGCAAGATAAAAATGTATTAATAATGCTATAATAAAAGAGTTCCAGTTAAGTGTTGCTGCTGAAAGGGTTTTCTAGAGAAACTGCTGCTGATCAGAGGGGAGACCATGACCGACCAGCCATGAAGAAGCAGGAGGGATGCTCAGGAGGTGAGGGGAGTGGTGTGGGGGTCTCCCTCAGGTCCAGTATAGCATTCCCTGAGTTGAAAGGGACCCACAAAGACCATCCAAGCCCAACTCCTGCAGAGGCTGATTTTCCTTTGCCCTGTTTTAGAGCAGACTTGGAACTGCTGCAACACGTGGTGAGAACATGAGGCTCTGCTAAGCAGAACACATCTAATGTGCTGCTCTGCAGGTAACCTCTGCCTGGTCTAGGCTACCTGTGGCTGCCTGTGGGCAACCTGGAGCTGTTCACAGGCTGCCTGTGCTCTCAGTGCTCCGGGGGCTGCAACTGCCCCTGTGTGCAGACACACATCTCTGGGGAGGCAGAACGGCACTGGAGAGCCTTAAATCTGGATAAATCTTAGAGCTGCCCCTGAGGAGGGGCAGAGGGAGGACCCTGGCAGGGTGGGGAGCTTGGGGGGCAGTTCTTAGGGGAGCTGTGTGGAAGTGTATCCTGCCTGGCTCTAGCGTCGGAGCCATCGGGGCACTGAGAGGAGCATCCCTCGGGGCACTGAGGGAACTATCCCCAGGGGAGCTGATGGGAGAGCAGCCCCCGGAGCACTGAGAGGAGCATCCCTCGGGGCACTGAGAGGAGCATCCCTCGGGGCACTGAGGGGACTATCCCCAGGGGAGCTGATGGGAGAGCAGCCCCCAGGGCACTGAGAGGAGCAGCTCCTGGGGCACTGAGGGGACTGTCCCTCGAGGCACTGAGCTGGGCATCCCCCGAGGCACTGAGGACTATCTCTCGAGGCACTGAGGGGAGAGCAGCCCACCGGGGGTCTGAGTGGAGTACCCGTCGGGGCACTGAGAGGACCATCCCCCGGGGAACTGAGAGCATCCCTCGAGGCGCTGAGCGGAGCATCTCCCGGGGGGCTGAGAGGACCATCCCTCGAAGCACTAGGAGGACCATTCCCCAGGGCTCTGAGCGGAGCATCCCCCGCACAGCC